ACACACACACACACACTCACACTCACACTCACCCTGGACACTCCGTGCAGGTTCAGTGAGAACAGATGTGGATTCACTGCGATGAAATCTCCATAAAACTCCTGCAGACACAGATGAATCATCGTTGTAACTCAACATCTGCAGTTAAACATCTGTTCAGCAGCAAACCTCAGTTCAACCATCACTGACACATGAGACTTATGAAGACACGTCTGTTCCCAGCCCCTGAGGCTGATGGGTAACAGAGTTTATTAAAGGCAGATCAGTAAATATTTGAAAAACAAGTCGAGAAAGTACCGTGTGTAATAGCATCATGTTAAACTTCCTGTGACTCACCTGGACTTCAGCCACCACTTCCTGTTCGTCTGCTTCAGCCAGAGCTTTGATTTCACTCTTACTGATCACATTACTGAAGTCTGAAACACACACACACACACACACACACACACACACACACACACACACTTCAATGTGTTGTAATCCCATTTATATATAATCTACATGTATGTGTTGAACGTGCTCATAGCGCCCCCTAGTGTTTCAAACTGTCTTAGTCCCTTCAGGCCAACAGTTTGAGAGACGTCTCTACGTCAGGACACTTTCATATGAAAAGATAAACAGCCTATAATCAAAGGTGGGCGGAGCCCCAACCCCAGCGGCCGCTCGTCGTTTGATTCTGGAAACTTGTCATTTTCAAATCCATATGGAAACTAAACCTGTAAACCTCCAGCAGGGACGTCCTCTCCTGTCCCTCACTTCAAACGACCCCATGGTCTCTGGCATCAGGAACCTCCGGACACAAGAGCTACTTTTCTAAAAACGTCAAGATTCTCTATGAAGTTTGACACACTTATTATTGATGACATCAGAGATGATGACATCCTCAGGAAGTGATGTCACAGTGACTCTCAGGAGGATATGTTACTTACAGATGAAGTACACGCTGTACTTTGGTCTCCTCAGCTCCTGGATCAGATGTTCTACATTCTCCTGCAGAAAACACAGGTTAAACATTGAGTCATCGTCACAGTGGACATGACATCACTCATCACAATGAATGACATCATCACACGGAGGCGGAGCGGCTCTCGTACCTTGGTGGGTCTGAGGAAGCAGATGGCCTTCAGGTGTTTCATACTGTCTCTGTTCTGAGAGTCGATCCGTTCGAACAGGTAAACCTCCTTCTGCAGGATCTCAGACTGAGTGTACACCATGCTGACGATGCTGGTCTGTGACACACACACACACACACACACACACACACACACACACACACACACACACACACACACATGAATATCCAGCCAGTCTTTTCTTACAGGCAGCCAACTACACATAAACTCATGGGCACTTTATTAGGAACACCTCAGCCAATCACGTGACAGTATCCCTGAGGAGCTTCACTTCCGCAGTGACGTGATTGTTGCAGCAGCTGTGTGTTGACATGAATCAACAGTCCAGCCTGCAGGTGGCGCTATGCTCGGGCTCTTCATTCATTAGTGGTTTATCATGGTGTGTTGATGATCATCACGCTTCATCTTCCAGTGGACACTTCCTGTTCCAGGTCACGTGGCAGTGAAGCAGGAAGTGTGTGGAAGTGACTCACCGTCTCTCGGTCCATCAGCAGCACCTTCATCCCGGGGCCGCTGCTCTCCACCATCTTAGAGACGTACTGCTTCACCGCGAGACTCACGTTCATGGCGGCGGCTTCACGAAGCACCGACAGCTGCGGAGTCACGGTCCGGTTCAGTCCGGTTCAGCCCGGTTCAGCCCGATTCAGCCCGGTCGGTCTGCTCCGGTCTGAGGTTCTGTTCGTGTCGGTCAGAACAAAAACAAGCTGCTGGCCGTTTCCGGGTACACCACGTCATGACGTCACACGCAGGACACCTACGTCAATACGTAGTAAGCGTTTGTTGGTGTATTTTCTCATTCTTTTATTTTGATATATATTTTACATGTACGTGTGACGTAGAGCAGAACTACCAGGTAATAAAACAAAGCTCGTTATTTTTGTTCTATAACTAATACAAATAACCTTTAACAATTTACAGCTGAAACTACGAACAGAACTATTGGAAAAAGGATTTGGAGACTTTCACCTCAGGTTGGAACCACAACTCACAAAGTTGATTATCAAGTGATAGAATTGATGATGTCAACAAATTCAAATCAACTAGTAAAAAATCGGCGTTCAGTGTGAACTTGTCAGATACTTTTGTTACTCCCTCTTCATCCATTACACACGTTTTCATGACTTACAAGCACAATTTAAATGATCTGTCTGTCACCCCCAACACTTTAATTTTGCTCTTTGTTATCAAGTCAATATAATGAAGAGGAGTCTGTGTTGTTTAAACACATTAAGACAACTCATGTTGTTCACAGCCTCTGTGTTTTTAAACACATTTTGAATTCAAAAGCACATGAACACACAACTAAAGTCTAATCGCTTCTAATGTACTGTGAAGTATTTACTAATCAATGAAGTCTCTGTCTCACATATCTCAGAAACATTCAACTCATCACCTTCACACTTGTCATGTGTGTTATTAAGGGTCCAGTTGTCTCATTGTGGTACATGTGATAATAATAAACTTTGATTAAAACCAGGTGACCAGCTCTCTGTAGCTGGAGCAGTGGGCCTCATCGACCTAAGTGACCTTGGTTGTGACGGAGTCACTGTGTTCATGTCGTCCATCTTTATTTATAGTTTAGGGTCTGAACACAGAGTGAACATTAAAACCTCATGATTTATTACAGGACTGTTGAATGCTTGGTGTTCCTAATAAACTGGAATAACACATTATAAACACTGATGAATGTTCTGTTATAAACTGTGTAGTAACAATGTTTCCCTCTGCTTTACAGTGAATTGAGATGGAAATAGAAATACCTCAGTATGAAACTTCATAGAGTCTTAACATATTATTGTAAGTCACTTTGAAAAAAGAGTCAGCTAAGTTATGTAATGATTAACATATAGGTCAATATGTCAATCAATTAATCAATTACATTTTATTTGTATAGCTCATGTTCACAAATCACAGTTTGTCTCATAGATCTTAACAAGGTGGGACATTCTCTGTTCAGAGTAAAACTACTAAGAAAAACCTTTTATCAGGGGAAAGAATGTAGAAACCTCAGAGACACACGTGAGGATCCGTCTCCCAGGACGGACAGAAGTGCAGTAGATGTCACATGTAACTGAGAACGTCAGAAAAATAAGAGTAATTACAGCACTGGTTAGAGTAAACAGTTTGAAGCTTGATGGAAGGTGAATGAATGGAATTATTGTCAGTAATGGTCGAGTATCTGAGGAGACACATTGTTTTTCAAGCAGTGTTGTTATGATCAGGATCCACCATCAGCTGCCACCTCGATCATGGTCCACCACTCCGATCAGATGCCAGTGATACAGGATCCGCCATCCTAGTTCACGATGTGGCCACAATGGTGGCCCTGGATCTGCAAATGATAAGGCAGAGGGACTCCGGGAAAGAAGTCGTCAGTAATGTCTGAAACTGGAAGATGATTCCACAGGAGAAGAGCTTGATGCTGAACGCTCTGGCTCCTCCTCTACTTTTAGAAACTTTCGGGACAACAATCTGAATTCTGGGAGCTCAGGGCTCTAGTGGTGATATGGTACTATGAGCTGCAGCATTTTGGACAAAGAGTTTTTAACGACTCACTGCTGGAGCCTGATAACAAGGAATTACAATAATCAAGTCTGGATGGAACAAAGACCTGGACTAGTTTGTCTGCATCTTCTTGAGACAGGACATGTCTGATTTTTGAGATATAACGTAAAAGAAGGCAGTCCTAGAAATTAGTTTTAAGTTAGAAGGACAAATCAGGATCAAAGATGACAAATTCCTGTCCGTTTCACTGGATGTGTGGATGATGTCATCTAGCACAGCGTCATCATTAGATAATGTATCTCTGAGGTGTTTAAGGCCGAGTATTAGAACCTCTGTTTTAAGTTTAAAAAGAGTAAATTACAGCTCATCCAGGTTTTTATGTCTTTGAGACACGAAGTTTAGTTCATTACACTCTTCTGGTGTAGAGTGTTTCCTCATAGTGTTTCTCAGTGGAAGCATATATAATGAGAATAAAACTGGGCCGAGCACAGAACCCTGTGGAACACCGTGGTTAACTTTGGTGCGCACAGATGGCATCATTTATTTACTCAAATTGAAATGGATCTGATAAATAGGATTTAAATAAGTTTAGGGAGGTTCCTTTGACGCTAATGAACTGTTCTAGTGTCTGTAATAAAACGATGATCAATAGTGTTGAATGCTGCACTGAGATCTAACAGGACGAGGACAGACACAAACATCTGGAGCTATGAGAAGGTCGTTAGTGACTTTGTCTCCGTGCTGTGATGAGTTCTAACACTGAAAGTCTTCACATGACTTTAATGGAGAAGCTCTCACAGCTGATTGGCTCCAACCTTCTCGAGGAGTTTAGACAGGAAGGGTTGGTTGGATATTGGTTTGGAGTTGGTTCAAACCCTCGGGTCCAGGGTTTTTTTTTTTGAGAAGGGGTTTGATTTCATTTCATTTCATCTTAAAGGACTGTGGTAAATATCCTGATAATGATTGATTGTATTTCGTAAAGTACTTTTTATTCAGGGCAGAAGTTATGTAAGTATCTTTGTAGGAATGGGATCTAAGATACAAGTTGTGGGTTTACATGATGAGATAGTTGTGGTCAGCTGATCAAGGTATATTAAGTGATAGTAAACAGGTAAGGAATTTATGTCATTGTAAAAATATGATTTCAAAATGATTACAGCAAACACTTAAAAACCCTGGTGCTTATTTTTCATCTGTGGATTAGCAGTTCATCTAGTTTGTGGACGTGGAGCTGATGAACACATCAGTGTTTTCAGAGCCACTCAATGAATAATGTGTCAAAGACTGGACATCAAGAGGGATTTGTTCTGTTTGTCCTGTACGAGCTGTAATATTATCATCAATTTTATTATGAATATGATATGATACATTTAATTCAGATGTAATTCACTCACTCATTTGTGTTTCTGTTCTTAGCTTTAATGTCTTTAAGGAATATTTCATAGTTTTTAATAATAACAAAAAAAATCCACTTTTTGTTGAATGGAAGAAATACAGGCCTGTTCAGCTAACTTATCACCAGCTCGTTTTAGATGTTAGCTCATCGGCTAGCTTCAGTTTTTATCAAATAAAGTTTCTATTTTAGCATCAGTGGAAATTTCGCACATTAATTTTAAAACATTCTTTAAAATCCATATCACATCTCTTCCTTGTATTAAACTTTATATTTGCAATGGGATTCAGTGTTAGCTGAGCAACATTAGCTAACACATGCTATAGATGTGATGAAGACACTTGAATCAGTACTAGAGCTAAACATTACTATCTATATCTTTATCTATAGCTTTATATACTTAGCCACAGGCAGCTAGCTAGCTGAACATCAGTAACTAGTGTTTCACTGAGCAGCAGCTCTTAGCAAGTGTTCAGATGCTAATTAGCATCATGTAGCTGGATGTTAACCGGAAAGTGTTTAATGTTTATATTTCAGCGACGTCACAGAGCTAACGTTGGTTATCGTTAGCTTAGCCTAGTTCATGCTACACAGCGTTGTGACATGAACGACCGTGGGTCCCGTCAGTGTCCGACCAGCGGCACCGACCCGGGACCAGCGGCACCGACCCGGGACCAGCGGCACCGACCCGGGACCAGCGGCAC